TATTTATTGAATTGTGAAAGAAGAAATCTGACCAACAATATACTTAATCATTTTCTATTTATCATTATCATCCTGTGACATGATGTAAAAACAATTGTACTAAAATGAGGTGTTTTGTTAAGGAGAAGGCTCTAGAGTATTAAAACAAAAAAAAAGGATTTATATTTGAGTAAGTAAAGTTCTGCTGGAACCAGAAATTGAAAACTACGTGAAGGAATGCTCTGAACTATGGTAACTGATTATTCTTCATTTATAATGTCTGTTTCAAGCTGTCTTGAACATACGGCCCAAGAAATTTTGAGTCAAGACAATACACAGCTAGGGAAATACAGTAACTTTTAAAGTAACTACACATGAAATGAATTTTCAGAGTTGTCTAGGTAAACAAACTGGTATATGTTTAGCTGGCTTTCCTCTTTGATAGTTATAGCTCTGAAAAAACTGTGATTCATAAGAAATAATAAACCTTGAGATTGACTAGTAAATGTTCTTCTCCAGCCACGACTTCTGACCTATTGTGCACATGCTGGAGAATGAATCTAATTTTGAATATTCATTATAATCATGTTTTTAAAAAAATACATTTTAATGTCACATAGAAACAAAAGCTGTTCACGGGCCACAGCCTAGTCACTTAGGTTTACCACGGAGTGATGAAAATTCATCAAAATGTCAAGAGATCTGTATTTACCAAGTTTGATGAAGAAAATCTGACAAATACTATTTAAGATAAGTGGCATTTTTTCCTAATTGTTTTCATATGGATGAATGAAAATCAAGTGCCCTGTTACTTTGATGAAATGCTAAATTGCTTAAAAATTCATATTTACACAACAGACCAGCATACAAAATCTGAACATAAGATTATGGCTTCAGAACCAATGTACAGATTTTTCTCAGCTAACCTGTACATTCAAATAAAGAAAAGAAAGTACTAGTGAATGCTTAAACTTCAACTAATTTAGTTCTACTCTCCTTGCATTTCCTCACTAAAATACAGTGCAAATAAATATTAAGTTATAAACTAATAAGTATTTCTTCCATGGAAAATATGTCAGACTTTCTGTGTTCATGGTAGCCCATCAAAGACAAACATAAGTAATTTTTAGCAGGTAATTCACCTTAGGAATTAAGTATGCAAACACAAAAACCATAGTCTATTTTTCCAGTCCACATAGAATATGCTAAAATTCTAAGAAAGAGGAAGAAAATATGTTAGAAAAACAAAGTATCAGACAAGTATTAACCTTAGTGGATGTTATAACTAAGGAAAGAAATGATCACATACAAATCTTTATTGTCCCTGAAGTTTTATGTGTGAGTATGTTTCTAAGTATGTACAGTGTGTGCATTTATAATGCAATTTTAAACCAAAATACCACAGACTCAACTAAAACTAATATGTAATAGAGTTGACTTTTGAATCCCAGGTCTGTGAGATGGGATAGCACATGACCTTGACCTCTTCTTCAAGCTTACATATCTTCAGATAGTTTTTCCAAAGCTAATTATAAAGCATTTTAAGGAAATCCTAATGTTTGAAATTCACTGATACATGGACCATTGCCTGCCTTTCTAGACTTATTTCAAATTAGAAAATATAATAAAACAGAATGCGGCACTGAATCATTTCTGAGGTAAGACTAATTACCAATGTTGAAATAAATTTCCTCATACTTGTGGACATTTCATTCCCTTCTGAGGTGTTTGTGGTTTTGTGTGCTGAGTAAAGGCGATCATCAAGTCCAAGTCAATTCCCAGATTCACAGACTTCTTAAGCCACCTAAGGGCAATGCACATATCCAGCTTCAACAAATACTAACGATTCCTGGAGAAAGCTATTTTTATGACCTCAATCATGATCCATTTGCATCGATTTTGGTGAGCAATCCACTGTTTTAAAACAAAAGCTTGTTCACTATTTGGTTGATGGGTTCACTAGAAGCCCAAATCCCACCATCATATAATATACCTATGCAACAAACCTGTACATGTACCTCCTGAATCTACAAAAAATTCTGACATGTAACATACACATTGCTTATTTACATTTTCTAAATAAAAACAATTTATAGCATGCAAGGAGGCAAAAAGTAAAAATAACACCGAAAAACCACATCAACCCAAGAGAGTCCTAGGCCAACTGGAAGGTTTGGTCAGGGGAAGGACAGATGGGTAGAAGTCTTTAACTCTTCAGCAGCAAATATTATCTCCAAAGTCACCTAATTTTCATTAGTCTAAGACAGACAACAAGTTGGTTGGTTGGCTTATAATTAAAAATACAAGCATTAAAAGATAAGGAATTAAGTTCATATCATTGCAAGTGGAACAGTGTCGCTTACTTGTAACATCAAACCTTCACCTTAGTCATTCTCCTAGTTATTGGGATAAATATTTCACTCATGAATTCCTCTTCCTTCTCTAATCTAGTACCAAATCCAAGCATCATGCAATTTAGATGGAAAGTAAACAAACAATTCAGTGACAGCAATAATTAGGCTAGATCCCGAGTTCTTTCTATCCATGGTAATATGCTGACCTTCGGTTTTTCCTGTTGGGCAACTTTACAGTTTAAAATGGAAAAATTGCAGAACTTATTTAAGCCTCAAAATTCTAACTAAATGAAAATGTTTAATTTTGTGGTTACTTATTATTATTAAGAATATCCCACTTATTGTGATTATATTATTATATTGTATTTCTATATTTAGTAGGAAGTCTATCATGGCATTTTAGATTAAGTATCATTATTCTATTATTTCTGTGCCACTCATTTCAAAAGCTATGTAGGGTCAGCTATAGGGAGTTACTGAGAAAGTAACCCACTCTCTGAATTTTTTTTTTTTTGTGTGAGACAGAGTCTTGCTCTATCGCAGGCTGGAGTGCAGTGGCGTGATCCCAGCTCACTGCAACCTCCGTTTTCCGGTTTCAAGCAATTCTCCTGCCTCAGCCTCCCGAGTAGCTGGGACTACAGGCGTGCACCACCACGCCTATTTTTTTTTTTTTTTTTTTTTGTATTTTTAGTAGAGATGGGGTTTCACCATGTTGGCCAGGATGGTCTAGATCTCTTGACCTCGTGATCTGCCTGCCTCGGCCTCCCAAAGTGCTGGGATTACAGGAGTGAGCCACCTCCCCCAGCCCTTAAAATTTTTAATTATGAATGAAAATAACACCTTAAATGGCAAATGTATTAGCTTCTCTATGCTAAGAAAGCAGCTCTCCTAAGTGCCATCAGTCAGTTTGATGGAAACAAACTGCTTAGGGGCCCAGCCACTGAGAGCATCCAACCCTGGTACAGATCTAGAGTTGAGCATGGCACAAAGACCCTCATTGGAAATGGACCAAAATCAGTCGAAATAAAGAACACTGGACATGTAAAGGAGAGAGAAAATTTAAAAGGCATAGAATCTGGGGAAAATGAAAATTAGGAAGAAAAGAACGAATGCCCTAGATAGAGTGATTATTAACACTTGCATCTACTTATGGAGGATATCAATTAAGACCCCTACAACTCCATTGGAAAGATCATTGTGGCCAAGGCAGGTGGATTGCTTGAGGCCAAGGCTTCAAGACCAGCATGGGCAACACAGAGACCTATCACTACAAAAAAATTAGCAGGGTGTGTGTCGGTGGTCCGAGCTACTTTTGAGGCTGAAGTGGGAGGTTGGCTTGAGCCCAGTAGATTGAGTCTGCAGAGAACTGTGATAATGCCATTACTCTCCAAACTGGGTGACAGAGCAAGACCCTGTCCCAAAAACAAAACTAAACTAAAAATTGTAACGGATGTCTCTCTATGTCTACCTTGCACTCCTTCCTTTGAGGAAGTACTCTCAGTTTATGGGGCCCAAGCCCTTCTCCATGTATGGCAGAAGATCTCAGGCCAGAAGAAAATTTTATTTATCTCCTCATAGTTATTGATTCACATGGGAAGGCCATGTGATCACAGCCAGGCCAATGAGTAGCCTCCTCAGGGCTCTCCCCTGGAAGTTACTGGAAGTAAGCAGGCTCTCCTGTTAGTTGATTGCTTGAGTGCTAAGGAGGAGCACATCTGGGTGAGCCAACTTTGAGAGCAGGACTGTTTATAAAGCTGGTGGACAAGAGGAGAGCAAAGGAACTTAAATCAGTTCATTCTATTTTTTGCTTCCACAAGTTTGAGTTAAGCTTTTGTCACTTGCAATGTAAAACGTCCTATACTTTCCATGACCTAACATCAGACCATGTGTTTATGTGTTTTGTATACACTTGGGTGTCCTCGTTCCAGTTCTCTGAGGCCCTTTTCATCTTTTCTACATTCATACCATCTTCTTTCTGAAACTGTGATCTTCCCTCATGAAAAATGCTCAGGATACCAGGAAAATGGTAGTGGGCCCCTGAGAGCCAGGGTAGGCATCTAGGTATTCAGGATTACCCATGACTATCCAGGGTTGCAGCTGTGATTCCCCTCACAGGAAGTGGAGGCTGTTAGGTCCCAGGCAAAAGTCTGGTGCTGCTGTGATGTGGTGCTGCAGCTAGGAACAGCTGTACCTAAGTACAGCAATCTAGCCTCACCAGGTACATCAGTTGTTACCTGACAGAGTCATATTGCTACAGAGCTTTGCATGCTCTGCAGCAACATGACTCTTAAAAAGTCACTTTATTGAAAATCTCATCCTGTTCACTTTTGGGCTTTAAACACCCAATCCATCAACTTCCCCCTCCGACCCACCAGGGGATGCAACTATCCCATACAAAGAACATGCAGTTATTCTATTTTTGCTGGAGAATTTTCCCAAGCTTCCTTGCCTAGTTTCATCTTTTTACTCTTTGATATGATCTTTTCTCCCAGAGTAGCATCTTGTTGGTTCATCCCTGAATTCCCCCTTTGCTTAGCCAAGTTAGATTCTAGGGTCTGTCTTACTTCTGACTGCTTTCTCTCAATTATAGTCAAGTGACTTCCAGCATATTTTTGCCCCAAGTTTCTGGGCCCTGGGTGAATGCTGTGCAAATAAATATTTATCATAGGCTCTCTTGTGGGGGGGTGGAGGGGAAGTTCTGATTTGTGGCATTCACTGATTTCCCCACTCTGAATATTTCCACTGCTGACAATATTTCCACTTTTGAGCTGACATTATGTCACAGAACGTGGAGTTCAGAAGAGATGTGTACAATCAGTTCTGCAGCCACCTCCAGCCCATCACTGTCCTGGCCCCTCCTTTTTCTGGCAGAAGGTAAAATATGGAAAGAGGAAATTGGTACAGCTAAATAATCCTAACCAGATCATGTCTTTTGTATTAGCAACTTCTAAGTTTTGGTTACCATCCGCATAGTTTTAATTATCTTTCATTGAGTCCATCTGCCTCTCTACCTACCAAAAAGCGGGTAGAGATGAGGATAGAGGAGAGGTTTCATGTTTGGTGCTACAACACACACACACACACACACACACACACACACACACACACACACACACACTTATAATAATATTTATTATAATACTTTTCTGAAAAAAAGTAGATAAGTAGAAATGTTTACTTTTTATGATTAATAAACAGCATAATTTAGTCTATTAAATGCAACAGCTGAAGACCATTTACATTTCTATCGGACGTGGTATACTCTACATAGTATTTCTGACATAGCCTTTTCGTCTTCTTTGAAATACTCCATTCCTCATGAGTTATATATTTAGCTCTCCACCTGTTATTTATTATTTTTGTTTACAGAAAACCATAAGTGCACAGAACACATAAAAGGCCCTATAAAGATGAGTTTTCTAATCCAATTAGGAAGATAATACCTTGGGCAACAGAAAAAATGGGCAAAGAGATGAAAATATTTTTATAATGCAAATCAGAAAAGAGTTCCATAAAACAGGTATGAAAGAAGAATAAACAGAAGAGAGTACAGGAGTTAGAGAGCACAGAACATGGGAATATATTATGTTATTTAAAATATAAATTAACAGCATTAAATAAAATTGGGACCTGGCGGGTACTGTGGCTCATGCCTGTCATCCCAGCACTTTGGGAGGCCAAGGTGGGTGGATCATATGAGGTCAGGAGTTCGAGACCAGTCTGGCCAACATGGTGAAACCCCATCTCTACTAAAAATATAAAAATTAGCCAAGCATGGTGGTGCTCCCTGTAATTCCAGCTACTCAGAGGGCTGAGATGGGAGAACTGCATAAATCTGGGAGGTGGAGGTTGCAGTAAGCCGAGGTCATATCACTGTACTCCAGCCTGGGAAACAGAGAGAGATCCCATCTCAAAAAAGTGAGAACCAATAAACAAAATATTTTAGTACGCACAAGAGAGGAGTAGAAGGGATAAAAATGGAAATGGAGTCATCAATCTAAGAGCATCAAAAATACATATCCTGGCAAGTAATCAACAAACTGTGGGTTCGGAGACAACAGACAGATGGCATAAATGAGTATTGTGGGGAAAAGAAGGTAACTACACAAATCTACAGGAAGAGAAATTTGTGGGCTAGAAGAGATTAAGAAAAAATTTCAAGTCTGCAATTGAGGTTTATCACTAGAAGATATTTGCATGGGAGTTTTTGGAACCTGACCACTTGAACGCTTATTGGTCAATGGTTTTAAATGTCATTATTTAGTTAGTGCAAACTCAACAGCATTCATTCATTTGGCAAGCAGTTATGGAGCATTAATGTTGTCAAGATACTTTTCTAGGTGCTAGGGGAAAGAGAAGGCAACAAATATGTATTGACTTTCTACTTAGGCATAGAGACTGAGACTTAACTTAGATTATCATTTAATCCTCATCATGATCTTAACCAGGCCGATTTTAATATTCTCATGTTGGGTTAAGAAAACTGTTGCTCAGAAATTGAAGCAATGAAGATTAAAAGACTTCTGCCTGTAAGCAGTTTACCATCCAATAAACAAAAGTCACTTTTGAATACAGGAAAAGATTCTTGCCTCTTGTATTGACTGTTTGGAAAAAAAGAAAAAAAAAAAAGGCCCTTAATCTAGAAGTGAAGTGATGGCTTTTTCTGAGAAGATATTAAACTCCTGCTTTTAGATTCAAAATTGCCAAGACTGCTATGCTAAATCATTTGAGCCTTAAATCAACAGAAAATGATAATATCCATATCTCTGAAAGGATTGTTATCTACACAGCTTATATTAGTACTCTCATAGTTCTGATTGTGTGAAAGTTTTATGGGCTGGGTGTAGTGGCTTATGATTGTAATTCTAGCACTTTGGGAGGCTAAGGCAGGTGGATGATGAGGTCAGGAGATCGAGACCATCCTGGCTAACATGGTGAAACCCTGTCTCTACTAAAAAAAAAATACACACACACACACACAAACACACACACATGCTAGCTGGGGTGGTAGCATGAGCCTGTAGTCCCAGTCCAGTTACTTGGGAGGCTGAGGCAGGAGAATAGCTTAAACCCAGGAGATGGAGGTTGCAGTGAACTGAGATGATGCCACTGCACTCCAGCCTGGGTGACAGCAAGACTCTGTCTAAAAGAAAAGAAAAAGAAAGTTTTATGGAGAATTTTAAGTGTCATAATAGTGATAAAGGTGTTGATAGCAACAACAATAATAATAATAATAAGAAGAAATTATACAAGCAATTGCTATGTGCTTTCCTTAGTTTAGGAGGTAAAGCCATCAAGAGCTACTCACTAGATGTTTTTCTAATGAACTGTCAATTCCACAGATACGCCCACTGTTTCACACATAATACTCTAGATATTTCAACCCTAAAGCTTGCTATTTAACCTTGTGAAAATGTCAACACCATATTACCTACTTCTCAAAACAAGTCTTCTTTCTTCTATTCATGCCACTGAAATCACCCTTCAACTCCCAAGGGATTTATTTTGTGCACTATATACCTCCCTATTTCTTATTCATGTATTTATTTCTCAAAAGCATGTACTGTATTTTATGAGCAATTTTTTAGTCACTGAGCTTGACTACTTTGGAAAATATAGTATAAGAGGTGTAAGCATAGCAACAGGGACCAATTAGGAAGTGATTTACTATAATATAGGCTGAAAAATAATGGTGAGATTCTAGCTACATTTTGAAAGTTGAACATCAAATTTTTTGATACAGTGAAATTACATATTTGGAGACAGAATTGATCAGAGAATCTCATGTTATGGATCAAAGATAGTAACCTGAATTATTACTTTGACTCAAATGCAAATTCAGATGAAAGACTCCAAAATTATATACTATTTTTTTATTTTTATTTTTTGTTAAAATAGCAAGAGTCTGCCAGGCAAAGATAAATCTCTGCACATCTGTATTTTTCTGGGTACTCTAGTACCTAGCTTGGAGGTGGGCACACACAAGTGCTGGAGAGTTCTTCTCAAACTTTGTTGCATATTCAAATTGCCTAAGAATCTTAGAATACAGACTCCGATTCAGTGGGTCCAGGGTGGCCTGGAATTCAGCATTTCTAACAAAGCTTAGCGGTTGTCAATGCTGCTTGTCTGAGGATGGCATTTATGCAGCAAAGTTTGATGATGATTGGTTGGTTGGTTGGTTGGTTGATTTCCTACCTAAACTAGAAGGAAAGTCTGATTTTCTTAAATAATGCCCCATCTGGAACAATTTGAGTTAAAAAGTATTTTATACTTACAAATATGTTTATTTTTATTTTTTTGAGACAGAATTTTGCTTGTCTCCCAGGCTGAAGTGCAATGGTACTATCTCGGCTCACTGCAACCTCCACCTCCCAGGTTCAAGCGATTCTCCTGCCTCAGTCTCCCAAATAGCTGGGTCTACAGGCATACACCACTATGGCTGGCTAATTTTTTACATTTTTAGTAGAGATGGGGTTTCACCATGTTTGCCAGGCTGGTCTTGAACCCCTGACTTCAGATGATCCACCTGCCTCAGCCTTCCAAAGTGCTGGGATTACAGGTGTGAGCTACTGCACCAGGACTAAAGAAATATTTAATATATATTTATTTCTTAAGGGATTAAAGTGATTCAGGAATATATAACATAACTAGTCATTTTTTAGGTTAAAAATGTTGGAGAGTAGATTTTAGTGGTGTTCTTATTGGTGGCATTGTTTCTATATTAGTTATTAGTATTATTCTGTAACTGTTGTTTCTGGCTTGTAGAAACTATGCAAAGATAGCATTTTTTTTTTCCATCCTGCACAGGAGTACCTGGGAGTTTTTATAAAATACAGACATCTGTGTCCCACCCCCTGGAAATGTAGTAAGTATTCTGGTATCTATATTTTTCAAAAATTATCCCAGCAATTCTTGTGTTTAGCTGTGTTTGGAAGCCACATGTATATCAAAGTAAGCTACTGTTATTATAACAATGTCATGATTCTAACATGACATATTAATAGAATTGGCCTAGGATAAATTAAGCAAATTACATTTTTTTAATGAAAGCTACCTAATTCCTTCTAAAATGTATTCTATATATAAAACTCTAAATATAGTATCACAGTGTTATATGTATAGGTAACTATTTTAAAATATGTATAATGCTATAAATGGTAATTATCAGTTAATGGCATCGGCTAGTTACATAAAATAAATATTTCCTTTTTTTATAAGTCTGATATGTTAAAATTCTACTTGCTCAGAAAAGTGTTAAGTGAAATATAATTGTTGCCCCAAGAACTCATTAATATCTGCAAACCTCTTTGAAGGATTAAATAGGCTCCCTAAAATGTATGCGTATGTATGTGTATGTGTATACATAAAATAAAAATGAAGATATGTACATATATATCAGTCCATAGGAAAATTACATAATTTCGTCATGCATTATACATAAGGAGCATATTTAAGACAGGATAGTGCAGAGATATTAGATTTACTTATTAATGAATTGATTTGTCAAAGTGTTTTAACTGAGGACAGATGAGTGAAATTGCATTGTAATGTCATTCATTATCTTGAGCAATTTTCTTAAGAATTTCACATTGAATATAAATGCCAAACACACTTTTGCAAGGTCATTATCCTTTCAGTGTTAAACCTTGAATATTTTCCATTATCATCTAGATCTAATTCATTCAAGTTGTTTTAGGCAAATGTATGTCTAAAAATATTTTCAGGGAAAACTTAAGAGATGTATAAGCTTCCTAAGAGTCTTTTTTTTTTCTCCCTTAAAAACCAGGAAGTTTCATTTATCTTTGAGTATCTTATTAACTGAAAATAAAAGTTGATATCATTCCAATTATGTACCAGTAACTCCCTTCCAAACTTTGAGCCCTGAGCAAATCCTGTGGTATAACGTGCTTCCAAGAGTTTGAGTGGCAATGGTCATGGAGGCCCTTCACTGCCCAGCCTTGTCCCAGCCATGTGTTTGCCCCAGTGCAGTGAAATAACTGTCTAGTCCTGATAAGAGTTAATTGTAAAGGTGAGTTATTTGGAAACACTTTTCTAGCTTTAAATGTCATCTAGCATTTTTGGATGAGAAATGCAATTTTTTAATTAAAAATAAAATAAAATTCACGTATGTCGAAGTATTATAAAAGATTGGTTTCTTCCTTAGCAGAATGTAGGCTCTGGCAGAAATATAGTTTCAGGTGTGGGTGTAGGAGGGAACCAAACTTGGATGAAACAGGATTTTATCTTCCTGGGGTGGGCTGCCAGTTAAATTTCTGCAAATAGCAATGTCATAAAGCATGGTTTGAGAGAAAGACCATGTGCTTTCTAGAGTAGCAACTGGGAGAAAAACGACAAAATTACAAGGAGGCTGGAGGCTAAATGTAAAAACAAAAAACAAAACAAAACAACAACAAAAAAAAAACAAGCTTTCTCCCCATCCACCTTAAGTCTCGCAAAATAAAAATGCATTTTAAAAATATGCTTTGCACAATAACTCTTAAAAATCAAAGTACAACAGCACGAATCTTAAAAGTTCCAAGTGCCTGCTTGATGAACTCTGCTATCTGGGCATTAGGATATCAAGGTTAATTAAAGAAACGACAACGTGGCTACGGAAGACACATTAGCAAAGCCACATACAAAGCTGAACAGCAATTAGAGAGAATCAAAAAACAGACACACAAAATGGAACCTTTGGCAAACCTAAAGATAGACTCTACCTCAGCATCTGTCGTTATGTTACAAACATCTAAAAACCTTACGTTTCTGATTTTTGCTTCTTGTTCCACCAACCTATCCTCCCACACACACACACTCTTTGCCTCCACACTTTCCTGTTGCATGGTTTTTATGGGGGAAACTGAAGGAAGGGAAAGGAGTTCGTCTTAAAGGAAGTTGTCCGAGGTGACACAGGGGAAGTGACCATGTCAGAATAACTAAGAACAATATGAGAAGAAAAAGAAAATCAGGGTTTAGCGAAAAACAGAAGTAGATGCTCTGTTAAGAGGTTTAGTTATAAGAAGAGGGTATTTAATTTTCTATCCATAAAATTTCTGGCATCATTTACTTCCTTTTCTCTGAGCAAAAAAATCAATAGTCTTTTTGGGACTTCATGTAAGTCCGTCATACTTCAAACTCTATAGTTCAGTGGACTTCCTGTTTATTTATTGTTCTGTCTTCCATATTATGCTACCCAAGCTAAGTTTTTCTTTTTCTCTCTCTCATCTTGTCAGTATTTTTTTTAACTCTCCTGAGTCATTTTTAACATACAGTTAGGAATTTTTCCAGCCACTTGAAAATTCTATACTCTTTTCCTGCCATTTAAAATACAGTATTACAGTAAATTACTGCTACTGGGAAGAACATTCTGACTTGATCAGTGCAACCATGGTGTAAAGTGTGATAGACAGAATTCAAACACTAAGAGGGCAGTCTTAGTTTTTATATACCATTCTTTAGTTATAGATGAGTAGTACTTTAGCTGTATTTAAATTAAGACATCAGAAATATATTTGTATGTAGTTGATATTACTAATTTGTTAACTACAATGGCAATTTCACACAGAAACCCTTTTGTTGGAAACTGAATTTCTCATGTAATAATTAGCTGTGGAATATTACCCCAAACAGGTGTCTGTAGCCTGTCAAAGTCAGAACAGGTGATTTAGAATTAGCGTATTAAAAGAACTGTGAATTAGCGAAGCAAAAACGTGTTAATTTCTTGTTCCATCTGTTAATATGAATTCACTGCCAAATATTTTACTTTGAAGAACTGTGCTGGGATTGGCAAGAACATACACTATAAAAAAAGTTTAAAGGCCTGAATGTTTAAAAATCATGACATACGTTACTGCAAAAATAACTTCTACATTTTTGAACATGCTTTTTTTTTCTTTTTATCTTTGAAAAAAATAACATGCAGAGATTGCCATATAATATAGAAAGTTAACTAAAGAAAACATACGATCAAATGTTAGACCTTTAAAACAAAAATTGGAAGAAAATGTTATTCAAGAATGTTTGATTATAAATGAGGACTAATTCTTCAGTGCTACTTCTCAGATGGATCTGAGAACTATTCTGAATTGCTGAAAGACATGGAGAAAAATATCTGCTGCTACCATGCAGCTCATATCCAATAATATCCTCTTAAACAGAGATGCCATTATAGAAAGATAAATCTTTTTTTTCTATCCAAATACTGTAATCCTTTAAAGGATTATGGTGCAATTTAGGTCACTAAACCACAGTCTCTGTATAATTCCAAAATCTTTTGTTCATTAGCTTAGTTTCGTTTCTCCCACCAAATTTTACTTGCATGGATAAAATCAAAATACATTATACCCTTAACTCCATATGCATGTATGTAATCATGTATGGCAGTGGCAGGAGTAAAGGGTGAAGAGGGAAAAAAGAGGAAGTCCCATAATGAAATGTAAACAGTTCTCGATGAGGATTGCCACTTCAACACATAAAAGAATTTGGCCTGCAACTGGACACATTTTTATTCTGAAAACCTTAATATAATCTAGGGTTAGTGAATTGTTGATCCAATTTGCCATCTTTGTATCTCTTTTCTTTGGAGGCAGATCCATGGGAGAAGAAAGAAATGTGAAGTGAATTGAAATTTGTGAGCTTAGACATATGCTAAGAGTACAGTTAACTTGAGTTACTTTTTCCATGCTGCTGAATTGGGTCCTGAATGAGGCAGTTTTGTGACTTAAACAGATTTCACTAATTTTCCTTCCTTGCACATTTAAAAAACAAACCACACTCTCCCATATTGCTGTTTGGGTTTTAACGGAGCTAAGGCATGCACACCCAATTACTATAAGCACTTTAAGTAAAGCTTAAAGATATGCAGCATGTTCTTAACTGCAAATGATATGATAGGTAGTGTCTTTCCTCTCTAGTTTTATGTCACATCCAAGAGATTAATCCTCTCATGAATCATCCATAATGACTAGAATAATTTGGGGAACTGAATGAAATTTTTCAAATTATTTATATCATGAACTCACAAGAATATGAATGGTGGGTTATGCAAATACAAACCATGCTTACAAAAGCTAAATACAAAAAAAAGGGAGGGGAAGAGGGTTAAGTTTATATTTCTAAAACTGGACGTCTTTGAATTGACACACCGTGTGCTTATTACTTTGCTGGTGAGTGATTCCTGTTACGGTTTATGAAACACACAAGGGCAACTTTTATTGTTTCCAACATTTGAGAAGAAAAAATACAGATCTTTTTTTATAAGGTTACAGCAAACGTACCAAATTCTCTAAGGATTAAGATGTTCATATTATGTGAAGTTCATAATATTTTAAGAAAAAATAACAACCTTTAAAAATAGCCAGAGATTTTTTTTTCTATTTGAAACAGACTGAGCTTAAGTTCTGTAATTCTTCCTAAACATGATCTCAGACAAAAGACAATACTCTATTTATCATCATGTTTAAGAAATATGGTGTTATTATATAGGAATCATTAATGAAATAGTTCCAAAATTCTAAAAATTCATAGAAATCTATACAATACATAAAACATTTTATAGAGTTTTAAATTATATAGTACATCAAAGTTTTAGATGACTTATCTGAAAAGACATTTTTGGTATGTAAATAAAAATACAAAGAGAAGAACCAGTCAGAAAGTAAATAAAATATGAAAATTAAATAAAAGGTAAGGCAGCTACACTTTTTATATAAATAACTGTGTTAACAGAGCTTTATGCATATTGCAATATATTCAGATGCATAGCTTTTGCAAAAATAAATTCATTGCTCCTCTCCAAAGAATGGATTAAAACAATTTATTTTATAAAATTTGGATAGATAGGATAAGAAATGTAATAGCCATCCATGGAAAATAAATATAAAAATTATTCAAGCTCCATCTACTTTATGTTAGTAATGAGATGCACTTCATTCAAATTCCTTTCAATTGAAACAGTGCTGAGGAAGCAAAAACATGATTCTGTAGGAAATGATTTCTAATCTTCATGATAACATACCGATATAATACAATTATTTACAATTGACTAAAAGTTAATTTCAATAGTATAACATCTTTCTTGCAAAAATGTCAGCTTTTATTGATGAAACAAACTAAGAATAAAACATTTTTACTTGTAGTATTACAGTGCTGTTTTTCATTCTGTTAACCAAAACAACACAGTAATACTGTAAACAAAAAAATAACATCAGACTGCTTATGTTTGCATGATTTTATCAAGAACCATAAGCAATGCAATGAAATACATTAGTTATAATTTTGGAAAACACTCGATTCTTTTAGGCTATATTCATGCTAAGACTGTATTCATGCTATGTGCAAAATAAGTGACCATTGGGCTAATTGTGCTAATTATCTATTATGCCATGAAAGAACATAAAATTAATAATTGAAAATAATTGATCTCACATATTCAAAGTACAATAAAAGCAAATAATATGCAACAAAGCTATTATCTGTCATCTCTGTACACCACACACACACACACACACACAAGTTTGTATATGCCTGTGTTTCTCAAATGGGGTCAAAATGTTTGTAGATATTTTTGGTTGTCACAACTTGAGATGTCACTAGCATCTAGTGGGCAGAAGCCAGTGATGCTGCTGAGTGTTCTGCAATGCACGGACAGCCCCCCACAACAAAGAGTTATCTGATTCAAAATATTAAGCGTGCCTAGGTTGAGAAACCCTGATACATGCTTTGGGCTTTTGTTGTTACCACCTCCCCTTTTCTAATCAATAAATACCAAATATTTGTATCAACTAACTCTTCTTAGCCACCAAACTGGTTAAATAAGATCACTGTCACCACAGAGGATAGTATCCATTCTTAAACATATTTGTGGAGTATATCCTCTGTGCTAGGCCTTGTTGCCGGCATTGACATCAATATAGTACAATTTCTTCATTTAAAGGCTGTTAAGTAACTATCCAATAAGTGATCAGCCTACACTCACTTTAGCATAGCTGGATTTGAACCGAATTTTCTTGACTCTGAGATTGTAGGCAAATCTTTTGTACATGGGAACCTGTACAGAACCAACAGCTGCAAATGGTATCTGTATAATGTTGATTTTCATTGTATGTGTATTTTCTCATCTATTGGCTAAAACTTTAAATTGCTTTGACTACTTTGAATGGCTCTTTGTTGCTGAATTTTAAAAACAGAGGTATAACATGAAGGAAAAAGATTGTTTCCACAAGAGAAGGCCTCATTCACTGAACAAATCTCCTTCAGTGAGTTGTATTTTAATATTATGCTGAAATTAATAGTCCTTCATAGAGACCACAAAAAATGAAAATACCTTTAGCAATACACTAACATATAAATAAAAATAGGAGATAATACTATCTGAATAAAGTCCATAAAAAGTTTTCATTTCTTAAAATGTATTATTTTCTTCCATTGTTTTTGGCTGCCAAGAAGGCCAATGCTAAATACAAATTTCGTTTGCAGCACAAATACTAGCCTTATGTTTAATGTATCTCTTTATGCTTTTTTCCTGATTTATTATCTTTTTTTTAGGATATGGGGATGTATAAATAAATAAGGTATTTACTCAAGCAGAATTGGCTTTCGTTTTCCTAGGAAGCCTTATTTGTGTCATTAAATAACATTATAATGGTCTTTAAACCAAGTAATTAACATGCACCTTCTTCTCCCTTGATTTACTCAATGATTTTGCAGTTACCACATTCCTCAGTATTTCATGACAGGTTACAGGGGATGCCTGTTCCATCATATTCTTGCTTAAAACAATCTATACATGCCAACGGCAATATAAAGACTCATAATTACATCAGTTATCATAGCTCTTTCATGTGCTATGCACTGTATAGTGTATTGTGTACTGCGTGTGTGTGTGTGTGTGTTTCTTATAACCTCAATCCTGCAAACTGGGTACATATATCCTTGCTTTGCAGATTTGCTAGTGCGACCTCAAGAATCCCATAGTAAATCTTTCTGGCTACAAAGTGCTTATTTCCCCTTATGGTGTTAGTTCTCTTAATGCATAAGAAAAGTTAAAAATGTTTAATAGCGTATATGAGATGAACGTCTAAGTTTGAAATTTGCTTAGATATGATTTAATTCTATTTCTTGTATTCTATTTTTATTGAATCTATTAAGTAATGATCAGTTTCATTCCCACTCTGTTTCTCTCTCCTACCACACAGCTATGCCAAAGGCTTAACAGCACTGCTTACCATCTGAAGGCTTTTTTTAAAAGTTGCTCACATTTAAAAGTTTGCATATTGTCTCTTCTCAAATTTTGCTTAAGTGTACCTGTTTGAGGAAAGAGGTTATGAATTATACTCTTTTTATCAACAAAGGTATAAAGCTGCGTACTATGTCTAGTTTCTTGTATATGAAAGACTAAAACTGACTAAGGTTTTTGAACAAATATAAGAATCCATGAATAAATGCAGCGATGCCTCATTTTAATGAAACTTTTTCTTTTGGAGAGCTGTAAGAATTATATTTTAGAAAAAAGAAAATGTTTGTAATTATGTATTTTTTTTTACCAGCTGCTTGATCGAGACCCCTAATGTTCAGCTCTCTCAGCCCCAAGGCATTGGAAGGTAAACTTGATGGACTCCTAATAAATTTGCAGTAGGTATTTGAAATTTTTCTTCATTTGGACAAGAGGCAAGGTTTCTTTTTCTGTCTCTCTTTTCACACTGGAAATATTAAACAGTTATCTCCAGACCAACTTCTTTCCCTTATTATTCAATTTCTAATACCGAATAGGAGGCTCTGTTCAGAATGTATTAACTGATGATACCTAAGTTGCATCTTGATCATATCATGTTACTGCCTTTATTGAGCCTTAGCATTAAAATCTTATCCATATTGCCAAATGAAACGCCCTTTATTTAGTTGAAATAGATTCGAGGTATGGAAGGCAAAATTCTAATGTAGTATCCAAAATTATAACCCTTTGGCATAAATGCCCAGTATAAGCCTCTCTTTTCAATATAGACAGGACCTGTGAATATGAGACATATCACTCCCATGGTTAGATGAGGGGATTTTGAAGATGTCACCATGGTCCCAAAGCCATTGACTTTGAGTTAATCAGAAGGCTAGTTCTCCTGGGTGAACTGAGCTGATCAAGTGCACTATTTAAAAGATGATCAGCCCTCCCCCAGAAAAAGGGCTCAAAATAGAAGCAATATTCTACTGCTGGCTGTGAAGAAAACAAACAGCTATGTTATAAACTGCATGGGACTTGGGACCTCAGTCTGCAACCACAGGGAACTTAATTCTCCCAACACCAGTGAGTTTTGATGAGGACCCTGAGTCTCAGAGGAGATCACAGCCCAGTCATGACTTGATAACAACTTTGTGAGGCCCTGAGCAGAGAGCCCAGCAAGGCTGTGCCTAGAATCCTGACCTATGGACACTGTAACATTATAAATATGTATTGTTTTTAGGTGTCAAGTTTGTTGTGATTTGTGATGTAGCAGTAGAAAACTCATACGAAGGGATCAGAAAGCTGGTGGGATTTGGGGAAAGGGATGGGAAAAGTGGGAGAAAAAAGACTATCCAACGGCTGATCCCACTGAGGAAAATAAAATCCTTCTCCTACTGAGGAGGTGGGTGAATTAAATGGAGGTATGGATTCGGTACTTAGGTCTGTCTTATCCAAGCACAACACTAATGTTCTCCAGACTAGTTGTATTTGTTTTATAAACCCTCTCCTAAGTAATTCTAAGGAGGATTAATGTTTTTGATTGTTTGCCAGGCACTGTGCAAGGCAATTTGCATATATCATCTATTTTGATCTCTATAAGCACCTGAGAACTATTATTACATACAATTATCAGCCCTATTTATCAGATAATACAGTGGATATATGTAGGTTAAATGTGCCTGTCATTAAATAGCTAGTAAATGCAGAGCCCATGTTCAAACACGGATTTATCCAATTCCAAGTCTTATGATATGAACACTTTGCAGCGTTTTCTCCTCTAAGCAGGCAGTAGCCTGCCCCTATCTCTACAAATCCGAGCACTGTAGTAACCACTGTTCTCTTTGATCTCTGCCTATAAATCTCAGGAAGACTTTCTATGTCTTTCTCACATTTTTGGTAAATATATTAAGGTATTTTCTTACGGTCACATAGCCTTTTCATTTGAATAGATGTGCCATGTCCTTATATAAGAAATTCACAATTTGCCCAATAATGTTACTGAGATTGTTCCAAAAGATTTTAATAAGGAGGTGGGAAACAGGTGTTTGAAAAATATTTTTCTAAAATTAAAAAACAACCTTTGTTAAAAATTCAATGTAAGTATCTCTCGTAAACTGTTTTTATAATAAAATGGTTTGTAAAATACACAGTGCATTTATTTGGAGAATATATTTAATATAGTATTAATTAGGTTTATTTGATTGGCATACTCTTGGAACTAAATGATATTTATATATTTTAAATTACTCTTAATTTGTTTATAACAGTTGCTAAAATTCCATTTGTATAGAGGACTAGTTTTCCTAAGGCACTGACACTCTACTGCTTACTTCATATTAGAGATTTATTTTTTCCAAAAAGTTCATTGACAGTTAAAACACTGCAAAAAGAAGATTGGTTATACCTCAAGTTTGATATATCTAAATTATTTGGGTTTTATAATTTTACCACTATTATATTTTATTTTGATTTCAGAAGAGCTATGTTTTGTAAAGGTTTAGAGAGCCAATATTTGACCATATTAAACTACAAAATTAGCAATTTATTTAGTTTAAACAAAATTTATATTACAAGTCTGATGAAGCACCCATAAAACTCAGTGACTATTGCTTTAAGACTGATCGTACTTTTTTTTTAATTATACTTTAAATTCTGGGATACATGTCCAGAATGTGCAGGCTTGTTACATAGCTATACGCTTCCCATGGTGGTTTGCTGCACCCATCAACCTGTCATCTACATTAGATATTTCTCCTAATGCTATTCCTCCCCTAGTCGCCCACCTTCACAACAGGCCCTTATGTGTAATGTTCCCCCCGTGTCCATGTGTTCTCATTGTTCAACTCCCACTTAGGAGTGAGAATGTGTGGTGTTTGGTTTTCTGTTCCCATGTTAGTTTGCTGATAATGATGTTTTCCAGCTTCATCTATGTCCTTGCAAAGGACATGAACTCATCCTTTTTTATGACTGCATAGTATACCATGGTGTATAGGTACCACAACTTCTTTAACCAGTCTGTCATTGATGGGCATTTGGTTGGTTCCAAGTCTTTGCTATTGTGAATAGTGCTGCAATAAACATACATGTGCATGTGTCTTTATAGTAAATGATTTATAATCCTTTGGATATATACCCAGTAATGGGATTGCTGGGTCAAATGCCATTGCTGGTTCTAGATCCTTGAGTAATTGCCTCACTGTCTTACACAATGGCTGAACTAACACTCCCACGGACAGTGTAAAAGCATTCCTATTTCTCCACATCCTCTCCAACATCTGTTGTTTCTGGCTTTTTAATGATTGCCATTCTAACTGGTGTGAAATGGTATCTGATTGAGGTTTTGTTTTGCAGTTCTGTAATGACCAGTGATGATGAGCTTTTTTTATATGTTTGTTGGCTGCATAAATGTCTTCTTTTGAGAAGTGTATGTTCATATCCTTTGCCCACTTGTTGATGGTTTTTCTTCTTGTAACTTTGTTTAAGTTCCTTGTAGATTCTGGATATTAGCCCTTTGTCAGATGGACAGATTGCAAAAATGTTCTCCCATCCTGTAGGTTGCCTTTTCACTCTGATGATAGTTTATTTTGCTGTACAGAAGCTCTTTAATTAGATCCCTTTTGTTAATTTTGGCTTTTGTTGCCATTGCTTTCAGTGTTTTAGTCATGAAGTCTTTGCCTATGCCTATGTCCTGAATGGTATTGCCTAGGTTTTCTTCTAAGGTTTTATGTTTTTAGGTTTTATGTTTAAGTCCTTAATTCATACTTTCAGCCCAATCTGCTTTAAAAAGTTAAATGGACAAGCCAAAGACAAGAAAGTAATTCTAGTATCCTGTAAATGTATATATATGCCTTGTAATTTTATACTTATTTACAGAGGAGCAGAATCATTATATTTATCTTCAAAGATATAAGCCCTTATGTTTATCCTCACTAATTACAAAATAAGTGTTAGATTATAAAATCACAAGAGTTTATTTCCGGTCAAGCTCATGATTTATTCAATTGAGTCTTTTCTCTTTGATAAAGCATCATTTTGTGAGAGGGCAGGACTATTCCTCCTGAATTCATATGAACGGAATAGATATGCATACAAAATATATTAGTTTATCTTTCTAATGGGTGGGGATGGATATTTCACTATCTGGGAGAATTTAGAGTCTTCTACAAACTGAAGAATGCTTGATTTCCTTCCGCTTTTAGACAATTTTTGTCATAAAAATCATAAAATAGAATTATTTCCCACCTTCCATATTATCTGTGCCACTAAGTTAAATAAGTATTTTCACCAGAAATGCAGATTTTTCAGCCCAGAATTTCACACCACATTGGACTGAAATTTTCAAAGAGGATATAAAGTGTCAGAATTATTTTTAGTCAGAGCAAGAAGTATTATTTATACCTTGCTATAGTTTTTTATGTGAAAGTTTAACCAAAAAATTAACTTGAGGAAAAAGTAAAATAAGTCAGTTGAATTAAAAGTCTTCGTTAACAGTCTTGTAGGGACAAGAATGGTGGTACTGATTGTGGAGAGGGTGATATTTTAAATCTAGAATGATACAAAAGGAATGAGGAAGAAATTGATGAGTATGCAACACCAAGAATGCAATCTATAGGCATTTGATGTTCATATCTTAGATGATCATTTCAACATTCCTATGTAAAATAGGTTATTATGTCTACTTGGGAGGTGAACAAACAGATTAGTAAGATTAAAAATTCATCCAAGGTCAGGCTTATAGCAAATATCAAAGTCTAAAAAAAAACACAGTTCTATTTTAGAAAAATAAAATTCTTAACTTTTCTTCTGTAATCAGCTTGGTTGATGCTTGATTTGTTTAACCTAGTGGGATCATATTCATTGTTTAAAACCTTTAGAGAGCATTGATTCTATGTCTCTATCTCTCTACCAACTGTCTCCATATGTATGTGCATCTCCATATATATGTTGTCTCCATAATTTGTGTATATATATCTAGATGGATGCATATAGGTACATCTGTCCATATGTATAATGTATATGTCCATATGTATGTATAATACATATGGACAGTTGTATTATACACATATATATACATATGGAAAGATGTATTAGACACATATTTGTGTGTACATATTTAATCCACAAATTCACTGGAATATTGAACACTTGCAACCCAGAAATAGTGTTACATTAGCATTAAGTAAATTTCATAATGAAACAGTTTTGCCCTTAAAAATATTCTATATTATAAACTCTAAGAGTGAAGATATTTTAAAGAGACAATGGTGGCAACATGTGTATCTTACCCATCTATGAAGCAATGATAGTGACTTATGGAGACAATTTTTATACACATAGCTAAAGTTTATCACATATTGACTGTTGCTTTATTAGTGCTTTTGTCACCTTCAAAAAGTGATAAATTGACAAAGCTGATAAATGGGCTTTGTTTATCATTTTCAAAACATATTAGTGTGGAGACATTTAACAGCTCTCCTTTAATAATCTAAGATTTAACAAGTAAATAGTGAAAAGGAATGCAAATATTGTTTCAGCTCAGAAATATACATTCTTGGTGTTTGGATATTAGATATAACACTTCAGGAACATCTCGTCTATAGTTGCCTCTTGTCATATTCACCCGTTTAGAATTTAACCAAAAAATAGTCACCAGGGAAAGAAAGATGATGGTAAAAAAAAACAAGGGCATTGTCTTAAAGTTCATGTTTAGGGTTTGACTCATAGACAAAAGTGTAATCAGACATTGCATACACATTTTTTAAGGTGTTCATTAATATAGCTGTTTTATCCACACAATGGTACAATTTCTACCAAACTTGTTGGTTTGATAGTTCTCTATGAGGGATACTTCCTGTAGTAATTTAACATATAATACACCTGAGAGTGCCAAATTCCTCTTTTTTAACTTGTACACAACCAGACGCCATTTCCCAGCACCTCTTGCATTTGAAGTAACCACATGTCTTGTTTCTAATCATTGGAGTGCAAGGAGATGAGATGTGTCCTATTTCTAAAATAAGTGTTGTAAGTAGCTGTGTGCCCTGTCCATGTTCTCTTTGGACAAAAAGGATGAGGCCTCAAGAGCAGGCAGCGCCACAAAATGCAAGGTACTAGGCTCCCTGAATCACCGCATGAGGGACAGCTGCCTAATCAAGAACCCCCAGTGCTTACAGGAACGTAGTTCAAGATCTAAATGTTTGTTTTAGTTAAGCAATTGTATATTTCTGGTCCATTTGTTATACCAGCTAGGGATACACCAACTCATACACTGGCGATCTTATATGGAAAACAAAATGGTTGCTTAGAGATAACTTGCACCCATATGTAAAATAAAGTATATACAGCTTACTAAGTTTTCATATATGAAAAGTATATGATTATATAGAGTATTAGCAATTAATTTTGTCTCACCAAGGCCACACCTGATCCTGAGGCCTCATCCTGTTCAGCTTAATTATAATTTTTGAATGTGACTAATCTGTTGACCAAACTGAATGATGTATTTCCATGTGCCTCACTGGTACCAGCAGGCCTGGTCCCTTCTACATAGATATCAGGTTAATCACACTCCTTTAGGAAGTTTCCAGATTTATGCCCCTTTGAATAGGTTTTATAGTTTGTCTAAACACAGTTCATTTTTCTTTTAATAATCCCAGATATTTATCAACTGTTACTAAATAAAATCATATGAGGTAAGTATCTTGCTGCTTCATTTACAAATGTGTTATCGATTTTTGTTGATATAGGAGGGAGAAAAAAGAAGACTTTGTTGGTTGTTATCTGCCTGAAAGATAATAACCCTTCCTCTTATATTTAATATTACTCAAATGCCCTTTCCAATACGGTTGTTTCCAAAATCTTCCATAAATATTTCCCAGGCAAACCAACAACTTGACCTGTCTTAATTCATGGTAAAACAATTTTTAAAAATTTCACTGCTTATGAGTTACACATTCATGGAAAGCACTTGTATTTTGCCTACAGAAGGACTCTTTGGATCCTCATTAAGGACTGTGAGTGTTTATTTTAGACACAATTTTAAGAAAGTAGCTTTCTCAACTTGCAGCCAAATAGGAAAGCAGAAGTGCCATAGAAAGAAGCACAAAGGGTGAAAAAAAAGTGGCAGATAAGGCTAAGACTAGAAGGTGAAACTAGAAGAGGAAAATTCAGTGTAGGATTCAATAATCTCTCATACCTCAATGATCATTGAGGGCCACTCTGTAACATTATATAACGTAAGGCATGTCGTCAACAGAGCATTATATTAAATTAGATACAGACAAGGTATGAGAAAGTGTGGTAAATATTTAGAGGATTTCCATCCAAAATGTTGGCTACTACCTCTTGATGCTTAAAAAGGAAAATCTGACTCACTGAAAAAATAGAACCCAAACAAATTTTCAGGGTGGTGAGGTTTGACTGTCTATTTAGGCTTACATAAAGCATTTTGCATGTCTATTTTTATTATTGAAGTATGTATTTGTTCAAGTATGTTTTATAATGGATAAGTTGAATAAATAAAGTTTAATCCTTCTTCATTATTAGATCTTGAACAAGAACTTAAGAAAACTCAGTGCTTGCTTTTATATCAGAGTCATATTCTTGTTTATTCATATTCTTTTTTCCATTGAAAAAACAATAGAAGGAAGGATCCAGTGCTGGAAATATGAATCAATATGGGATAGTGTGGCAAGGTTAAAAGAATAAGGATTTTAGAGTCCATCAGAAGTATGTCCCAAAAAGGTTCTTGCTACACACACATTATGTAACCCAGAGCAAGTCACTTTTCTCTGACCTTCACTTATGACATCTGTAAAGTTGGGACAAAAATTATCATGGTAAATAAGATAATAAATATAAATCAACTACCACAGTGTCTGGTGTACTATTTATTATTTGAATTACTTTGATAGTTATTAAATTCAATTTAATTCAAT